GCTATCAACTATAGCTGCAAGATGTTAAAATATACCGTCTGTCTTGACAATATATTTAATGTCATCTTTAGAAAGATTAAGTAGTCCACCGGTCGCTGATCGCATTATTAAAATCCTGAATTGACGTTCTGTCAGTGATATTTTGTTTGAATCACCTGCGATTTGTGCACATTTCAGTAATATTTTTATTCCAGAATTCTTCTTTGATGCTGATTGTAGCATTTCAATCTGACCAGGAGTCAGACTAGCACTAACATGATGATATGACGTCATAATATCATGAGCGATTTAATTACATGTTTTCCACTGCGGAATCAATACCTCATTCGTCCACCAACACCTTCAAGCAGTATTGTTTTGATCGAGAGTAAGACAGCTATTGTTCTTTAACTAGCATTGCTCCCCTTGCCGCATTAGCTCAAAAGTGTATATCAACGACAGATTGTACAAATACATCCATGTGATCGAGCAAAAGATAATAAAATCGTAAACAACGCTGTATAATCTAGTTGTGATATTTGTACGCCAGAATGAACACTTTAATCTCGTCCCATAAATGTTATAAAATAATCATATGTACATGCTACGTGATTATTTTCATAATTCAATAATACTTCTTTGGTTGGTTCTTGATATCCATTTATCCTCAGTGAAACTTCAGTAACACCAAGTTTGTCAAATATCATTGTACTGCATGTTTGTGAGTTTACTCGTTCAGTATTTTGGAAAGCAAAGAATTGTCGCGGTGTAGGAACACCTTGCTGTGATGCTTTGTGAATAAATCATTATTGTACATTCAATATTATCTGTGGTCATCGTCAACCATGATAATGTTGATTTATACCCGAGCCGTTCTTCTTCAGCGAGTGATGGCATCATTGTTGGCATGCACAAAAAAAAATTTCGTTAGTATTACTTTACTTGCAACAAAGATGGGACGCCAGATTGCCTCAACATCGGTAGCCTTTCTTGCAAGTACAACTGGATGCTTGGCTCCAAACTTAACCTTTCTGACATTTCTGAAAAATCCAAGATACGTGAAAGTGGAATTGCACATGAAAATCTTCTACGTTCATCTCTCAGCACTGATCGACGCACCGCGAATCCTAAGTTGAATTCGGGATTAACGCTAATAAGTAGTTTTCCACATCAACGTCTTCAGCGCCGATATTGTGTCGTGGTCGTCTTATAACATAGAGTTTGTTATCAGGGCGGTCAGAAGTATCCTTTACAAATATCATTGACGGAACACCTGATCTTGAATAATCGTCGGAATATCTTGCCAATCCCAATATCGTTGTGGCATTGTCAACATCTTTCTAAATTGATTCAATATTTCTTCCGTCGATGATATATGTAGCACTGTCAAACAACTCCATGATGCCCTTATTAACAAAACCAATTCTAATATCAGCTCCATATTCAGTTTCATCTTTTTTGCAGAATATCAACCTCTACTTCCATAAACGCTTCAGCGGGTAAGAAATATCTTCTTGTATCTTGAATCTGCAGCTGAATTCGCCCACGCCGATTTGGCTATCGTGCATCATACGAATAATACCGATACTCACGTACCGATTCATCTTTGAGAACTTGTGCGTCCGTGTCGAATGCTGTACAAGAAACACGTTTAAACGTCTTTGTTATACTTGTTATCGTCTAACGCGAAGACCACTTCCTGCTATCGGACTAGCAGTTATATCTCTTTTTCTTTTTCTGACAGGGGTATACAAGCCAGTTTTTGATTTGCTGCTTGATTTATTATTTTACTATCGTTTGGTGGCATAACTTCGGTACTTGCCAGTTTTACTGATGGACGTTTTCGTCGTATGAATCGTGCTAGTCTATCCTTGATTGTTGAGAGTGCTTAAAAATTTAACATCACCAAAAGCACCAATACCTTTCTCACGAACAACGTCAATAGCTTTCATTCCCAGTTGCTTTGCAATCTCTATTTCTTTTTTTGGGTGGGGGCTATTCTTCTAAATAGACCCTGAACAACATCACCGAGTCCATCTCCGTAGATCACTTTGTATATTGGTAATCGCGAATTTATCGCCCTGCCCATTACAGGCCCACGTTGAGTATTATATATGATCATCTTATTTTCTTGTTGCTGATTTAATTGCATACACTGAATCACTGCTATCATCATCAACGATTTCATCAAGGAGGGACAGATAAAAATTACTGTCCATGATACCGCCCATAAATAATCTCTGAGAAATATCAACTGCTTCATTAATGATTTCTGTGCGATTATTTTACTATCTGAATTGCTAATCGTTCAACATCAGCGAGGATGTTGCTTAGTCATGGAGTAATAAGACCACTTCCCCTGGTGCGTGTTCCTGAGTGGGAATACCACTTCCAGTGACACCGGCGTCAGAACTTGCATCCTACCATTCTTCTTCTTCCTTACATTTTGTTTCCTCTGCTTTTTTTCTTACCTGCTCTTAAGGTTGATTTACTTTCTGCTTTTGCTTTTCATTTCATATTCTTTTCGTTTCCTTTCTTGCTCTACTAATTCAATATATTCTTTCAATATTTGGTTGAAATTATAAAAATTATTAGCACCTTCCTCGCAACTGATCTGCAGAGTATCAGAAATAATGAGATATTTATCTTTGACATAGTTGCCATATTTCATAGCATTAATATATTTGGGTTTTTACATACTTATCTCCAAACGCGACAATATTAATTATTCGATATGGATAGCGGCAATACCTTCAAGCGTAAATTTTTCTATCATCTACGTCTTGGTTTCTGGTGGTTCTGGTTGTGGTTGAGAAGGTTGTCGGATTGGTGATCGAGGTAGTTGAATACGGCCAGTAATTTCAACAGGTAATGTCTGTCTCAAGAGCCAGTTGTGTTGTAACAATTTTTTGTTGTTGTTGATTTGACAATAGGTTTAAGTAACTGTTCTGTACCTTATGTAAATTCCACCTGAGACTCCTGACGCGCTTGTAGTTATTGCTTGACAGAATCACGGACAAGTAGATATTTCTTAATTAACTCTAGTCGATGTTATGCTAGTTTCGAGATTCCATGGTTAGTGTTATTATTGATATAATAATGATCTAATTACGCAAATACCCAAAGTGATCAGGTATAAATGCAATCTTCTGGTTGTATTTAGGGAATTGATACCCACATACTCGTTAAAGCAGCAGAAGTTGTCTCTCCTACTCACACACACACACGCACACACACACACACACACACACACACACACACACACACAACACCACACTTGACCTGATTCACACTATGTACGCATTTGGCGTGGGAAAATATTTAGGCCATGTAATATAGGTAAAGGACCGCTCGCGATACGCAAACGGGTAGGTAAACGGGAACACCAAAAATTAAAATAACCCAGTTAGAAAGATCTCAGTTAGTTAGAGAACTCGGTGATCTTGCATTATCATTCTCGTTGGAAGCTTTTTTTTTCAAAAATAACTTGCTCCAAACTTTGTAGGATCCACCCCCACCATCCCACCCCCCACATACCCAGGTAGTTAATTTGTAAACTTATTTGAAAGCAATATGACCAGCAACAAATGGTGAAGACGCAAGCGTCAGTCCAATTTTTTTTATCTCCCCCCTTCAACCAAGCATATTGCGCTGTACATTAACATATAGCTAGAATCTGCTTGCGTTCATACATATACTATGTTAAGAATGAATGACTAAAGACTATTTTATACGTCGCCCATTATCCACTTTTGCTGACCCGCGAAAGTTGTGCCTAACCAAAGTAATTTATTTACTTTGTGCATTCCTTTCTTAAACAAAGAATTAAATGGACTGGTTTAGATATAGGGTTGTAAGATATAGACTGGAATCACCACCATAATTTATGTTCACAATTACTTTTATTTTATAAAAATAAACGAATTTGTGTATTTCTAAATTTACGTTTTTTTTTGTTTGTGTGTGAACAGTATATATCACTAATAAGTCTGATTAATGCGTGATATTGTAATACCATATTTCAATAGTTTCATATCCAAGCTTAGTAAGCAATTTGACTGGGGTAGATCAACAGCGTAGTTTCACATACAAACATAATTTGATGCTTAAACGTTTATGTTTATATGTAGTATTAAATACAAATATTTCCAAATAGAGACTAAAAGAAACATGCAAAAAATTTAAACAGACGATTGGAGTATACATTAAAAACAGAATAGAATAAACGATAGCCAGAACTAAAGACAATTATGTACTCAACCAAACAAAACAAACGTATTAGCCCTGTATGAGAGCAAACATGTCCCAATTTATAATCTAATTGGCTTAACTATACGATGGACTGCTTAATGCAGAAGATCCAGTTGTCTCTCTCTCTCTCTCTCTCTCTCTCTCTCTCTCTCTCTCTCTCTCTCTCTCTCTCTCTCTCTCTCTCTCTCTCTCTCTCTCTCTCTCAGACCTCTTTTGAACGTTCTCAGAATAATCAGTAAGACTTGGGCAGTTATGCATAACATGGGTAGTGTAAAGGGGAGGTATGAACATAGAGTCATGAGGGCATCTCTTTTGTTGGACTTTTCTGGCTGACCTGGACAAATTCATTCATACACAAGGTGGATTATTTGGACCTTGTGTATATTAGCTTATTTACCATTATTACAGGAGGCTTCCAAAACATATACTTTTTCAACTCACTTTTGTTCTGCAATTGTATTTCATTGCTTTGTTATAAAACGTCTAAAGCGATTGTATCGACTTGTTGCTATCAGAGTACACCAACAATAAAGCGATACTCACTTAATATGCATGGGTGCTCTCGAGACCCAGCCGACGAAATCTTGCTTTTGAAATCCAACAGTTACACTACCGATCTTTAGAAATCAGATACAAACAATATAATTGCAAATGTGTATGAAGATCGGTTTTCTTTTCCTGCCTGTGTATTATGTATAAAAGAGCGATGCATTACTTTCTCAGCGATCGAGGTCAGATCTGTTACAAAATGTCTGTCTGTCTCTTTAACTGACCACTCCGGTAGTATTAGTGGTTAGAGCATCCGCTTCGGATGCAGATGGTCGTGGGTTCGAACCCCGATAGAGTCATACCAAATTCTTATAAAAATTATACTTGCAGCCGCCTCGCTTGGTGCTCAGCATTTAATAGATTATTGTTAGGACTGGTCAGTCTGGTATCATTACAATGTGACTGGGTGAGACATCATGCTCATGTCTGCGCATGATGCCATAGTGTTAGACCTCACTATAAGCTGCCCGACTGCAGACATGGCATGGTAGCGAAATTGACTTAAGTCGTTTGAAATCTACGTTAGAAATCCAAATCACACTCGCAGTGCCTCTTTAACTCATTATCTCAAATCAGTTGATATAGGTTCATCAACATGTAATGTTTGTTGTGCTACATAAACTAGCATTGCCCTTTTGATGTCGATGTTAATACACCCCACCCAAAAAGTTTTTCTTTAAATGTCGATGTTAATAAACCCCACCCAAAAGTTTTTAATGCAGATGTTAATATACACCCCACCCAAAAGTTTTTATAAATTCTTAAGTCTTGTTCATTTTCCAGAGAAACAGTATCACAGTGCTGCGCTAATATCTATCTATCTATCTATCTATCTATCTATCTATCTATCTATCTATCTATCTATCTATCTATCTATCTATCTATCTATCTATCTATCTATCTATCTATCTATCTATCTATCTATCTATCTATCGAGAGAGAGAGAGAGAGAGAGAGAGAGAGAGAGAGAGAGAGAGAGAGAGAGAGAGAGAGAGAGAGAGAGAGAGAGAGAGAGAGAGAGAGAGAGAGAGAGCAGGGGTGTAGGTGGTTTATATGGCAAATTTTGTCAGTATTTTTCAAGCATTCTCTTGTAGAATCCAGGGATAGCACGTTTCTACTGAGTGGCATTGAACGGATCAGTCAATGACTTTGTGTTTAATGTCTATACTATTTAAATTTAACTAGTGCTCCAGAACTCACTAGTTCTGGAGCACTAGTTAAATTTCTTGTTCTTTACTGTGCTATCTGACAGATTTTCTGCTTAGAGGTCCGGCATACCCGGGTCCCCTGTTACAAACATAGACTAATCCATATGAATACCCAGGTCTCCCGTTAATACAAATTTAGACTACTCCGTAAGAATAACGTACGGAAATCCTGAAAGGCCACACTTTGCGTATTGTTTGTAATGGGAAATCTTGATTTACTAATTGGATGTTTTCATCTACTTATATGATGTCTTGCTTTTCTAATACAGATTATATATTTTGGATTCGTAAATCAAGATCTAGGATTTATAAATCAAGATATTATATCAGTATCTCGATCTTTCAGATTAATAAATCAAAGATCAAATTTGTAAGTTTAAATTTCAAATTATTCTACCTAGATCTCGCATTCAATTTTTTAAAGCAAAAAAGACGCCCACGATGCCTATCCTTTATGAGCTTCGGTACTAGTGTAAATGTAAATATATACACTGGTTCTAACCCGACGAGTCTACAAATAAAAAAGTACTCGTGGTGTTTCATTTATTGTTATAATCAATATATCTCTGTGCTATTTTACTGGCTGAAGGGTCTGTTTATTCTCAAGGGTATCTCTGGTATCAAAGCTTCAATATATGAGGTTACAATCAAGCAATAAGCTAACGAGCGGATATTACGTGTTTGATTTAATTCGGCACAGAGGAGTAAATCCATACGCCTAAAGAATGAATCAATGGACCAGAGAAACTTGTTTATTTTTGTCGGACTGTTTGCCATTCTAATAATTATTGCATACGGTTAAGTCTCTCTCTCTCTCTCTCTCTCTCTCTCTCTCTCTCTCTCTCTCTCTCTCTCTCTCTCTCTCTCTCTCTCTCTCTCTTCAGGCATAACCGTGGTTATAACTCGACTCTCCCCTGTTTCTCAAGCTTAGACTTGCCCATGCTATTCAGCAATGCCAAACAGTATGGTAATGATTAGTTTTAAGCAGTTACTTGAATATGTATTTCAATTAGTCAAGCCACTATTCATGGTTGAAGGTATCTGACGTCTTCCTTGAACCACACAGTTCAGTAATATTCGATATTCAGTTCTATGATATTAGATCTTCGTTGATTCATACAGTTCTGCGATATTCAACCACCTCAACGTTATGTCTAATTTGTTGTGTTTTAAATTTATACAAGTAGACAGTGGAATAGGTAGTAAGTTTGATACGCGTTGAACTAATTCAGCCTAAACTGTCAGAGCAGGTATTCGGCATAGAGTCCTAAACCGTCAATGCAAGCATGAGAACAATGAAGCAAAGGACCCGAGCTTTCTTGTTTTTTGTAGGCGTAATTTTGGTCCTTTTAACAATTGTTGTATATGGTAAGATGAGATATCTGCCACTTTCTTTCTTTCTTTCTTTCTTTCTTTCTTTCTTTCTTTCTTTCTTTCTTTCTTTCTTTCTTTCTTTCTTTCTTTAAATTATTGAAATAATAAAACATAAATATAATATACTTTAATTCTAACCCTTTGGAAAGTTACCAAGTATTTTTAAAATTCTCGTTTATTAAGCCACGTTTAGTGAGTATAAATCTACAACAAATTTACGGTCAGCAACATATGAATCCGCACACTTATTGAAGCGTTATGTATACATGTATATTGCTGTAAGGAATGACCCTTAAAATAGGCAATTTTAGAAGGTTCAAGAAGTTTCAACGTAAACAGCTTTTATGTATAAAACCATCCAATACCTTTGCGTTGAAACAAGTTTTACACATTCGTCTTTATTTTGGATAAAACTGTAATAAGCTGGTTTTAAAATCAGTATTAAATTCTCTAAATATAATCCATAGGTAGTTTCCAATTTTACATAACTTTGATCGTTAGAAGTTTAAAGACACATCGTCTGCAGAGTGAGCAGTTGTGATTGAGTTGGTGAAACGTAGAACTAATAATTGAAAGTTTGCATTTAATAGAGGTAGCAGCATACAAAACTTTCGGATTGAGCCAGTAGTGTCTACAGTTCATGTTCTTGGTATAAAGGTCGTACGTATTATGACGTAAATAAAATATCAGATATATTTTATTATATTCCAATGAAGCATTCCCTTACCCGAGTTTTAACATTGACACTTGTATGTGAGTGTTGTTTTGTTTTGTTTTTTTTAAACAACTACTGCATAATTTGCAGTAACATGGCATTGGCCTACTTACAGAATAAATACTCAGTTTTGCAAAACAGTATATGGTGTCGCTACTTAAATAGAATTCAGACGTTAAACCATATGTATGTATGTATGTATGTATGTATGTATGTATGTATGTATGTATGTATGTATGTATGTATGTATGTATGTATGTATGTATGTATGTATGTATGTATGTATGTATGTATGTATGTATGTATGTATGTATGTATGTATGTATGTATGTATGTATGTATGTATGTATGTATGTATGTATGTATGTGTGAGTACATAAGCACACGCACGCACGTACACACATTACTCGAGTTCACTAAATTTTCTGACAATTTATATTGAATTTACGCATTTTTTAATGAACACTTATTTATTGCAAATTGTGAAGATATCATTATCTAATATTCTTTTATATCTGCATGATTGTGTTTTCCATTGTGCAACATTGACGTAGAATATCTCTATACATCTTATTACGTCAAACTGGTGTTTCTTTTGGCGCATCATAAAACTGACTTGGTTGCATTACGTCATTATGTTCATCACGTCAGGATTGCCTACAATTATTATATTAAATTAACTTAGAAGATATATCAACTGATTTTTGAACTAATTATATATTTATCCAGAATTGTTTTACTTAAATCAAACAATATACAATTTCACTAACATCACAAATATTTGTAACGTATATTTTATCCTTTTATGCTTTTTCTGTACAGATTCGGCGTAGTTTTTGTTTTCAAAAGTTCGCTTTTAATAAACGGAATGTAAAAAATATGATTCTTCATTAGGTATCAGAGTTGGATAGTAAAATTCCACTATCGGGTCAGACTTACGTCAGACACTAGAAAAAATAATCGTGTCTGACACAAAATTCTGATTCGAGGATCAAATTTTCCTACCCTACACGAATGCATATAACAGATTCTGTTAATATTTTTTGTAGATTATATGGAATGGAACAATTCAAGAATTGGTAAGTACCAACTATTTACCGTAGATCTTGAAGGATGTAGAGAATTTCAGCTATTCACTTTAAATGAAATAGCCAATGGTCTATGACAAATTACAAAAAAAATTTTTGTGCGTAAAATACATTGATGATTAACATATTAAACTGGCTTAGATATGTTATTAACGTCATTAATATAATGTTGTAAATTAGCGATATAACAATTTCTCGGCTGCGAAACAAAAATTTTCCTTGGTCTCAAAACAGTAAAATTCAATGGGAAAAGTAGGAAAACAAAGTTCTTGTCAGACATAGTAATGTCGTTGGCGATGGAATTTATATTTCCATCGAAAACCTAATTATTGCGAAGAATTTACCTCAAGGTAAAATAATAAAATTCGCTCTCAAAACAGTTCTTTCACAGCAAAAGTACAATTTTGTTGGCAGTATAACTTTGTTTGCGGAGAAACTATTTTTTTCGTAACCAAAAATAAATTTAAGTTGTGAAGAAAATTATTTTGTTTTTGCATTGGATAATAGGGCAATGTACACTTTGATTAGAAAACTTGATTACGCTGTTTGACTGAATGTTTGTATAAACTTGGTCTTCTATGGTTTGATAAGAACCAGGTCACAGTGACATTGCTGCACCGATCAGCATCAACTTTAGTAGAGGAATTATGCTGGATATTAGGTTTGCTTTATTTTTGAAACATTTGAAAAAATATATTATACTTTCCAGTCTATGTTGATTTCATGTTTTCCAAGACAACTTATTCAATGTTGACGTCATACTCAGTGGCTCAATACTGAGGTTATACTTCGTGGGGCATCGTCTTAAATTGGTTGCAGTAAAATTGGCTGCTCGAATTTTCACAATTTAATTTTGATCCAGTTAACAACGAAAAGAGGGGCGGGGTGGGTCGTTCCAAATTGTAGAAGCTTAT